CGTAAGCTTTTTCTAAATCAATAAAAATCAAATGTAGATTCTCCTTATTATCTCTGAACTTCTCCATCAAACCTCTCAATAAATGTATAGCTTCCATAGTAGACCTGCCCGGCATAAATCCAAATTGATTATGAGAAATCTTTGTAACGCGTCTTAACCTGCGTTCAATTACCCTCTCCCATACTTTTAAAGTGTGACACATCAACTTAATTCCTCTATAATTTGCACACTCTTGTGCATCCCCTTTATTCTTAAAAACGAGACCAAAATACTCTTCCTCCACTCCTCAGGCATCTTTTTAGTTTTTAAAATAATATTAAAGAGTTTAGTAAGCCAAGAAACTCCCAAATTTCCTAAACATTTCGACAGTTCAATTGGGAAGTCATCAGGTCCTACAGACTTTCCACCCTTGGTTTCCTTTAAAGCCTCCTCAACTTCTTTTTTACTAATGCGACGGTAAAAATGAAATGTTTTATTATAATTCATGATATTAAAATCACTAAGATCGATCGTATTTTCAGAAAATTTATTATAAAGCTTATCAAAACAACTCACCCACCTATGCTGAATTCTTTTTCTAAGAAAAGTACTTTTTGATTTTCATCTTTAATACACTTTACATGAGTTAAATCTTTACTTTTCTTCTCTCTACCTATCTTGACAATGTTGAGATAGGTAGATGTGTTTTACTTTACTGTTCTATTTATTTACTATTTCTCAGCTTTTATTTTATACACAAAAGTACATGTTTTCTTTTAAATGTTAGATACAAGAAAAAAATAAATAAAATAAGATATATGTATGTATATGGAAGCCACACCTAGATGGTACTGGCAAGGACTCGTGCATAGAAATGAAAATAGTTGTCTAATATTATGGTGGGTTTGAAAAGCATAAACATATATTTTTTTTTAAATATATGTTTAGAAGATGACTCCCAATTATGAAAAGTAGAACATAAATAGATGAAAGGAAATGAAACTGGTTTCTTTACTGCTCTCTTTATTACACATTTTTTTACTGTTTCTGCAAATTTACAAAATAATTTAAAATTAGAATTATTATAATTTAAAAATATTTACTCACTAAGTAGTTTTAACTCAAACTTTAGTTGCTAAGATTTTATAGGAAAACCAACTTTAGAGAAGACGAACCCCATGAAGTACGTGTCCATGTCCCGTGATGCGCAAGCTAATAGAAAAAGTGAGTGAGTTTTTATTTTCTGCCAATTGTAAAATTTTTAAAATATGTACGGATTGATTATAACTTTAAATTTTAAGAACTAGAATCGCTCTTTTGTGACTTGATTTTTTTTTTTAATTATGAAATAAAACTGTAAGATAGGTTTCATCCATTCGACCAACAACTCCCGCCATGATAAATCCAAGCTCTTGGGCCGAAACGTATCGTTGAAGACTAGGGCTTTCCTCAGACATGTGTTATAGTAAAGAAGGGCGGCAATGCTTGCGATTGAAGCCAAAGGATTCGTCAATCAAACTGTAACTTTGTCGAGCAAACTACAATTTTGTCAAGTAGGAAGGCTTCCTCTTACGGGTTTCGAAGCACAAATTCGAGTTGAAGTCATAGTCGAACTCATAGATTAGATTTTATGCATTTCTAATGTATTTAATTTATAATTGTCTTAAATTTAATATTTATGTTATAAAAAATTTATAGGTAAATATGTAATAGTATACATGAAAAAAATGATTCAATTTATTTTATCATAATTAAATAATAATTAAATTATGGCAAAATCTTTATGTTAAAATAATAAGAAATGATTCAATTTATTTTATCATAATTAAATAATAATTAAATTATGGCAAAATCTTTATGTTAAAATAATAAGAAGTCGATGATAACATTATTTTAATAAATAGATTAAAGCTTTAAATTAAATTGATGATTTATAAAGTTAAAATTTGGACAAATTAGTAGCAAATGGTAAAATTTAACGACCATAAAGTAAGAAAAATATTTTATATATGACTATAGGTTTTTTGCTGAAGAAAATCTGATAGAACAATTAAGTTAAGAGATCTTTTGTGCTTGAGAACAGTACTTTTACTTTTAAATTATAACAATAATTGGTTTCTTCTAAGTATGATACACACTGTTAATTGTTTAGATAGATTTTATATGGCAAGAGTTAAATAAAAATGATTTGTCTGCTTTTTAAGTTCATTTGATCATATTGAATTGTATGTCACTCATATTTGTAAGTCCATCAAATATATAATTAAAGATACTATATTACGTATTGAATATTATGAAAAGAAAATAAGAATGAGATTTACTGTCCTGATTGTTTATGTGTACATGTTTGGCTATAATGAAGTTCACCTCTTTATGGTATTAAAGGTAGATTGATAAAGTATGTGTGCACATAAAAGGAAAAAAATGTTGATATTGATGTGTCATAAATGACACAATTTTAGACGATGCTCATATCAGTATTATATACAGATCAAAAGGATATTGATAAGTAAACAATAAAAACGTCATAAATCTTTAAAATTAAATTAAATAATCATATTAGACGATACAAATCTTTAAATACTCTTAGATTGATTTATATTAAGTTTAACTAGTATGCACATTGTCTTCTTTTTCATTATGTTTGATTTATGAGTATGAATATTAACTATTTTTTTAGATAATTATTGTTTTAAACTAACTTTTAAAGGTTACTCATCTGATTAAAATATGGGCAAAATAAGTGAAAATGTTTACAGAAGACGTAAATAATCAAAAATGATGTAAATTTAAATTTATTACATTAATTTATTTTCAATAGTGGCTCTTTTATTTGTTAAATATTAATTATAGAAAACTAAATTAACAAAAAAGCTAAATTTTTCAATCCAACCGTCTGTTACTGCCTCACTTAGTTTCAATCGCCTTGCCTATAGAACGAGGTCATATGTCTCACTTCGATCAGTCAAATCCTCCTCCCTACAGGTATTGGAGTTGACACGACTGTGGCCCAAATGATCATCCTCCTAATATGAACTAGAGTTGACAGGATTAACTTATTTTAGGCTCGGTCAACCAAATCAAATTATAAAGCATTTTAATCAAAACCCCAATGATAGACATTTATTTTGTGTCTTAAAAAGAGGAAATTATTTATGAAATTGATATTTTAAATTATAAAACTCTAAGGACACTAATAAATTCTCACCTAAATGCTTAAGGTAAAATTTATCCAACATCCACAATCGATTTTCGAGATGGATAAATCTAATATTAACTCAAACTGATATAAAGTGAATGTCATAGCAATTCTATTACAACATTCATACTCAAAACAATCTCATGTCAGTAAGAATGTGGCCCATGTCATCTGTCCTCGTGATTTTGCCGCCAAATGACACCACAGAGATCGGTTACGACCATATACCTTTGACTAGGTGGTTTGTCGTCAAATAATATCATTATATTACAGTCATGGCTATAACATGTATGCTCCCCAATGGCAGTTTGTCTTTTTGAGTGATGAATCATAATGCATACTTGATAGAACACAAAGCTCTTTATAAACTAAGGTCAACTTAAATTAGTTTCCCTGGACAACCATTTACTCAAAATCTATAAGGCTCCATTGGACAAAAAACAGCCCATAATTACTAGCAAGGATCCTTATTCAAGTTGGATTGACTATCTCTTTTGACTAAGTAGACCAGGGACCATGATAACCCACAATGACAAAATATAGGATCTTGATCTGGTTCGTCATCATTTCCCCCACCATCCACTTTAAGCTCACAATGATAATTCTTCATAATTTAAAAGTTTAAATTCGTTGCTACCATATGCTACTTCTGAATACTTAGCATCTAATGACTAGCTTTAATTGAAAATGCTCACGTTATTGAGAGAGGTAATTAACCATGGAGGGTTGCGCCTATGGGAAACCTCAAAGCCCAAATCTTAAAATCCTTGCAAAATAAGGACAAAATCTCTTGCTAGTATTTTATTTACTATCTCATATGTCTTCCAAGAACTTAATACATAAGCTCTTGACGAGAGTCTGGGGTTAATTGAACTTTCGGATCCCATAATTCAATAGTTCTTCTGATGTAATGAGTTGATTCACTTTTGATCGAACTCCGCCATCTTTATTATTAGAGGATAGCCATTCACACTAAGGGTAAAATGATGTTCGTGATAGAAATTATTTGGGATATTTACATATGTGCCACCCAATTCCTATGTAGTCACATATCAAACACCCAAACTTCCATTTTACATATAGGTGAGCCCACCTAAAGTCGAAACCTAGGGATGGGGTGGCTCGAAGTTCAGGGGGTTCATATGTGAATGCATAGGAATCGAGTGGCAGTATGTGAAAGCCCTAAATTATTTTCTTTATGGATTTACATTTTAAATTAATTAAGAATTAGTTATTTTCTAAGTTATTTTTTTATTTTCATTAACGTTATTATGCAATAAAGTGTTAGGGGTAGTTCGAACAATTTGCCAGACAATTTCAATAAATAGATCCTTATGCTTTATTAAACCTAGTTATAAAAAGTTAAATGAAAATTTCCTGCACCAAATACTTTGGCTTCCTAGTTCTCTTTTGTTCTTTGAAGGATCCGTACATGCTTTAAAGTTCAACATCTGCTACTTAATGATTCATTATTTGATACTTTTTTCTCTTGTTTCTTTGAACTCCTAATAAATTTTACAATTAGACATTTGAATTGCCGGCTCTGAATCATAAACAACGTAATTGCAATATTCTTTCTAGTTTTTGCGATGGTTATCTATTCTAAGGATAAAGTTGGGTAATAACTAATATCAAAAAATGAGTGTATTGTATCTCTTTATGTACGAGAACTGCAGGTTTATGTTACACTTCTCCGACAAATAATGTTTATAACAAAATTATTCTCATTGACTAAAAAAATAAGCATGAAAAGATGTGTTCAAGTAGAAATACTGCTAACTTAGTGCGGAAGAAAGTGAAATAGAAAAGATAATTGTTTTACCGGCCCTTCTTAAGCCTGTTGCGATATTTTTCTTATCTCGAAAAATATGAACACATATCGCCCTGTCTGCTTCAAGAAACTCGAAAACACAAACATCGCCTTCTTTCAAATGATTCACTTCACTAAACTTAGGCCACCCTTTTGCCATAGCTACACGTCCAATCCAATGAGCTATCCTTACTGGCCATGATCTCCCCTTTTGATCTTTAAGGATGATAGTCTCCATTTTTCCAATATTACATTCCCTTATAAATGAAACAGGAATTGTCTGGAAACAACAGCATTGTATAATTAATCATTTTGCAGTATCAATGTGGAAGGATAATTGAATAAACAAAGATGGTAATAAAAAGAAAAAAAATAAAATAATAATAAAAATTAGCATTGCCCCAGAGAAATCTTTCTCAATTTCTAAAAATTGTTCAAGAATTCAAAATGGATTATACTACGTTGCTATATATTAATTGGAACCCTAGGCAATAATCCTTGCCTATTCCTTCTTATGAAGCCATAAGCCATGTGATGTGTTTAATGGAAAGAATCAATAGAAGGAAACGATCAATTGTAATTTGGAAAGAAAAGAGTATCATCCTGCAAAAAACTCTGGGTGCTAATTTTATTTCGACCATCTTCCAATCCCACTCCACAGATAAGATTGGATTCCAATGGTGGAAAGCTCATCCACTAACACTTTCAATGCTTTCTGTCAAAAAAGAGAGGCATGTCTCCAATAATTTGCATATTACCAAACCATTCATGATAAACTGAATTTCTAACAGAAAATCAACAAAAAAGAATCTACAAGAATGTACAGACCAAATCCTCATAATAGTTGGCCTGGTCCTTGAATTTTTATCCAGCTGATCTAAATGCCAAAGTTTGCATTCAAATAACTTTTCAGATTGAGCTATTGTTGAAGAATATGAAAAAGACACATTTTAGATTCACCCAAGGCTGCGTATAGCAAAAATTAATGTTCCTTTAAAAGTAATAGCCACCAGATTTTGTTGTTGCATCCTAACCATGAAGAAACTTTGCAAACTTAACTCCTGAATTTCCAAATACCAATATCGCCTTTATGAGATATTCATCTCTTCTTCACAATCCATCCTTTCAAATGTCTCTCCTGGTCAGTCATTTAAGCAAATGATAGACATAATACAACAACAAAGTTTTTATCCACTAAGCGGGATCGGCAACATGAATCCTTTTTCTCCATTGTGCTAATGAGTTTTATGATTTCATTTAATTTTAATAGATTAAAATCATTTTTTATACAACATGCCCAAGTCTTTGTAGGTCTACCTCCACCTTTCTTACCAAAAGTCAAATCAAAAGCTTCTACTATCAAATGGTCGACGTCTAATGTGACTAAACAATCTAAGACGACCTTCTCAAATCTTGTATGCCACTTGAGATACGCCAACCCTTTCACAGATATATTCGTTCCACATTTTATCTCTAAGTGTAAAGCCACTCATCCACCTATGCATTCTCATCTTAGCAACACTTAACTTAGTTTTATTCTTCTCTTCTATAAGCCAACATTCTGCACCATAAATCATTGCAGGAATCATCCCCATCATATAAATTTCCTTTTTAAGTCTAAGTGATACTTTTCTATCACACAAAAGTATTGATGCATTCCTCCACTTCAGCCATCCAACTTGAATTCTACTAATAACATCCACATTTATATCACCGTCACATTGAAAAATAGACAAGAGATATTTAAGACATCAAACCCTTTTAATTACTTGATCACTCGTTGTTAAAACAACGCCATGTATTTAGTTTTAGATTTGCTTGAGCGAAAGCCTTTAGACTCTCAATAATTTAAGAATTTCCTGAACTCTTTTTCTATTCTTATCCACCAGAAGAATATCATCAACAAAAAGCATACACAAAGGTACATCCTCCTGCAAATGACCAGTAAGAACATACATAACTAAGGCAAAAGAATATGGGCTTAAAATCGATCCCTGATGTAATCCAATTGAAATAGGAAAATACTTGGTCAATCGTCCTTCTGTTCAAAGACAAATAACAGTTAAAGTATACATATCTTAAATAAAAGTTATATTAACACGTTTCTTCTCTATAACTTCATAAGGTATTTATCTTGGTACCTTATCATAAGTTTTTTCAAAATCAACAAAAATTATATGTAGATCATTCTTATGCTCTCTGTAGTTCTCCATCAAACCTCTCAATAAATGTATGACTTCATAGTAGACTTGTCAGACATAAGGCATAAATTCAAATTGATTTTGATAAACCTTTACATCACATCTTAACCTATGTTCAGTTACTCTCCCATAATTTTAATGTATGGTACATTAACTTAACTCCTTTATAATTTAAACATTCTTGTGCATCATATTTATTTTTAAAAATATGGACAAAAATATTCTTTCTTCACTTGTCAGGCAACATTTTAGTTTTTAAAATAAAATTATACAGTTTGTAAGCCAAGAAATTTTTAAATCCCATAAACATTTCTACACTTCTATTAGTATACTATCAGATGCCATTGATTTTTCACCATTCATTTTCTTTAAAACTTCCACAACTTCCGTTTCAGAAATGTGACGACAAAAGTAAAGAGTTTTAATATTATTAATATATTAAGGTCACTAAAATTAATCATATTTTAAAAATTTTCATCAATAAGTTTATCAAATTATCTCACCCGCCTAAGTTTAATATCACCGTCAAATAAAAGCACTTTTTTCATCTCATTAATACACTAGAACTAAATCTTTATTTTTATTATCTTTTTGTTTGGCTAGTTTACACACATATCTTTCACCATATTTAGTATAGAATCTTTTATAAAAATCACTAAAAACAGAATTCTTAACATCACAAATTGCTCTCTTAGACTCGCTACAGCAACTTTTTTTTAATTCTCTAAGTTTTTAAATTTAAATCAATTTTTATAAACTTCTTATATTTTATCTTTCCGATACATTATTATTACACCACCGACCATTTTTATTTAAGAAAATTTTTCCTTTTGATTCTCCAAGTACATCTTTTGCAACTTGCTTAATAGTGCTATGTTGACAATAAAAAAATCATTAAGAATAATTAATATTATTAATTAAGTGCAATTAAACATAATTAATATTAAGTCGCCAACTTTCGCTCTAGACCAATCACATGATTGCTCCCACAAAGGGGTTTTTTCATTTTTCCCCCTTTATTGATCCTGAAAAACTGTGGGAGAAGCCACATGTTTCCTCTTCCTCTTTGTTCAAATGATTGGTTTGATTCTCTCGATCGTGCACAGAGAAGAAATAGAAAGCTTATTCTCTATCCTCTTCAACTGAACACAATAGACAACTTTGAAGTTTCTAGCTATCTCCCTCTCTCGTTCTCTCGTTTTCACGCAACAGGCCCGCACTTTTCTATCACACCCCAACTTGCCCCCTTTAGGGTCAATCACGGTGTGATAGAGGTGGATGTCTAGGTGGGAACAAATTCTGACAATCACTCATCCTCACATGCAAAATCGGGATTCAGAGGATGATGAGCTCATAATTCATTCAAGCTCACATATATTTAAAAGCATGAAAAATCATGTGACCAAGACATATATATATATACAGAACTGTTAAATCTAATATAATAAAAGTACGTACCCAAAAGTATATACAAGCTCCCAAAACTATAAAATGCAAAAACTGAACATGTCACACCTTGCTCCTCACCCAATGCCTCCTTAACCCTTCCTGAAATTCAATAATATATAGTGAGCTACAACAGACTTAGCGAAATAATTAAGTCAAAAATAAGATTTTATAGACGAAAAAGAAACAATGTGCATACTCATATGTAACTCATATAAATGTCCACATCACATATCACAACTTGTTATAATCGTATAAAAATATAAAAGAAAAGGCATATAATGAAGAAAATTATCATGTTATATAAAATATGTATGTCATTCATTCATGTGTAATCATATACATATTCATAAGAGTCATCAATCTAATCATAAGAATGTCATTTGTAATTTTACAGGCCTCAACTATTTTTGTGTCATGTTATGTTAGGCCTTCACCTAACCCGTAAACTACATCAATGATTGATAAAGGTTAGGCCCCTCCCAACATAGTAGTTATAAATAGACCCCTGTTACTAACGATTCCATAAGTTCCATCCCAGTCTGATAACAACAGTTCGTGGAATTTCATCTCTATCTAAATGTTAGAAGTCAAAAATCTCATATTTCATACCAACTGCGCTTACAAGTATTCATATAATAGCCTACATATAGTGTCACTTATGATATTTTTTAGATCATAATTCCAATAAGAAGCATTTATTATAGACATTTCAAAAATCATGTAAATAAAACATGGTAAATGAATACCTGCAAGTAAGTACTTCATAAATATATTCATCAGGTTCACAGCATATTAAAATCATAGATATTATAATAGGCATATTAAGTTTACAATCATACAATCTATGTAGGCATTCATTCAAAAGATGCAAAAAATTCTATATGCAATAGTATCGAACATATAATCACATGGAAACCTATAGAGAATTATTCTTCTTAGGTTAGCACAAGATTATTTCACTTGAATTGACGAAGCAGTCTTATAACAAGTTTTCTCAAGATAGCTGCCTATTGCGAACAATTTGGAATTTGTAATTCCTTGAAAATTCATAGAATTTGTAATTAAGGTCTTAATTTAATCCCAAATATGATTTTTTTTTACCTTAACTTACCTTGAAAGGGCTTCTCAACAAAAATATGCCTCCCCGATATCTACCTATTTTATTCCCACTCCTTCCTTTCCCCATAACCCTTCCTTAACGCGTCAACTGGGCTTGTTGGAAAGCTTAGCTCTCAGTTCGATAATCCTGTGGTTGTTCCCACAAAGCTATAGCAATAGAAAACACATGGAATGCTTGCATTTGTAGCAAATGTTAAAATCAAAATGTAAGAAAAGAAAGAAATGTTTGGAATATCATGAAAAGGAAGTTCCACTTCGCTAATTTTTCCCCGGAGCCATGACTCACTGCCTGCAGCCCTCTGTCAATCGTGCAGGTAGCATTTGTTGTAAGAATCGAGCCACAATTCTCGCGTAAGGAAAGATTGCGGCATTTAATTTGGATTTCGATAAATCCCAACCATTCCATCACATCTAACCATACATGCAAGAAAAGTACAAAGGATTTGGCTAGGAATAGTAATAAGAATTAGGAAATTAATTAAGGGATTCATTAAGGTTAATAAAGGTTGTA